AACGAACAGACAGTGGGACAGAACTCAAAACCTTCCTGACAGGGATGAATGGCGAGTAGGGCAAAGCACAAAACCTTCTTGACAGGTACGAATGGTCAGGGAGCGGAACACAAAACTTTCCTGACAGGGATGAATGGTCAGGGGACAGAACACAAAGTATTCCTGACAGGGATGAATGGTCAGGGCGCAGAACTCAAAGTATTCCTGACAGGGATGAATGGTCAGGGAGCAGAAAAAAGGCTTTCCTGACAGGGATGAATGGTCAGGGCGCAGAACTCAAAGTATTCCTGACAGGGATGAATGGTCAGGGAGCAGAAAAAAGGCTTTCCTGACAGGGATGAATTGTCAGGGAGCAGAACTCACAAAGTATTCCTGACCGGGATGAATGGTCAGGGAGCAGAAAAAAGGCTTTCCTGACAGGGATGAATGGTCAAGGAGCAGAAAATAACTTTCCTGACAGTGATGAATGGTCAGGGAGCAGAAAAAAGCTTTCCTGACAAGAACGAACAGTCAGTGGGACAGAACTCAAAACCTTCCTGGCAGGGATGAATGGCGAGTAGGGCAAAGCACAAAACCTTTTTGACAGGTACGAAATGTCAGGGAGCGGAACACAAAACTTTCCTGACAGGGATGAATGGTCAGGGAGCAAAAACAACTTTCCTGACAAGGACGAACGGTCAGTGGGACAGCACTCAAAGCCTTCCTGACAGGTATAAATGGTGAGTAGGGCAAAGCACAAAACCTTCCTGACAAGGATGAATGGTGAGTGGGGCAAAGCACAAAACCCTTCTGACAGGGATGAATGGTCAGGGAGCAGAAAAATAGTTTTCCTGCCATGGTTGAATGGTCAGGGGGCAGAACACAAAACCTTCCTGACATGGTTGAATGGTCAGGGGGCAGAACACAAAACCTTCTCGACATGGTTAAATGGTCAGGGGGCAGAACACAAATCCTTCCTGACAGGGACGGACTAAGCGTGACTTTAGGCTTATTTATGATTGATGCAGTGTCAATGGAGAAAGCAGTTCAGAAAAAGAGTAAGATAAGATCAGATAAGATCGGAATTTTGTAGATTCTTAAGATCAAGCAATGAGACAGTGGGGAGGCAGCAGGTACTATTCTTACGCCCTACCGGCCGATGATCTTTTGTATCACTTTGATGTTATTTTGTGCAGTCGTATTACTACATTGATACCGTGAATCTTCCATACGTCATCAATTATATCCTAATTTGATTTCCCGGTAGTGGTCACCGTCCAGGTCATCTTTATCAGATTATATTCAGATTTAGATATGATAAAGGCAAAGCCTTAAAAGGGTTAGCATTTGCTAATGGCATGTATCTAGTTCAAGCCGGCAGGGTGTCGCGTTGATCTAAATCTAGATTTGTATTCAATTATTAATTAGTTGATATTTGGTTGTATGGAATTATTGCCTGCATTGCTGTGATGGTGTCCTTTGGACGGTAGACACAATTCTATTAACGTGTGTGTGTTTATTATAATTATACATTGCCATTACTGGGATATTGATATATATATATATATCAAGGAACTAAATCTCAAATAACACATATTCTGCAAAAAGAATAAAATAAGATGTGTGTATGAAACACTATATCCCAGGTTTCAACAAAATTCTGAAGTGGGACATCAAAACTGTACTCTGTAAGACATGTGCTGATTGCATGCCTACTTTTCAAGTATCAAACACTATCTGTATTGTGGTAATTACTTTCAGATGTACGTCGAAGGTCGCAGTCAATATCACATATTCAAATACTGTTGGTGCCAACAGGAAGGTATTGTCACAAGGAATACATACACCACATATGAAAGCCCTGCCTCTTACCGTGCAATAATTATGGATAAGGTTAAAGTTGGCAACAGACAAACGCGGACTGCAGATAAATATGCCCTCAATCTTTCGATCCGAGAGCATAAATATATATATAGAATATAAATTCAGTCCAGTCTGCGATTTTAATTCTCGAACTATAGTCTTTGAAGAGTTCCCGCTCGTGTGGCTCTCGAGAGATACAGCCTTATACAGTAAATATCCGAAGCTGCTGATGCAATTTCAACAAAAATAGATCCATCTGTACGTTAAATAGTATGTTCCTTTTCTGTAACAGCCCTCATCATCAGCTAAGTAACAAGGACACCTCACTTGAAGAAGAATCAGGAATGAATCATGAATTTTGTTACATACCCTCCAGCACTAAATGATTATTCTACAACTATCAAAATCAAAGATAATCCACTACACATATGTAGCTATTTCTACAGATTACCATGGGTTACGTCCCCTTAGCGTTTATCGAGTCGTAGGCACGAGAGCCCACATGTAGAATGGGGCCAGTCAATGGATGAGTGATTTTATCAAATTACTAATATAGGCTTAGTAGGTACCATTTTAAACGCCTAAAAAACACTAGATATAAGATAACACAAGGCACCTAGAACAATAAAAAACCCACCCACTATAAGAAGTCTACATGCGGAAACTGGTGAAATATCATTAAAACTTAGGAGAGAAAAAATAATATTACAATACTAGGCTAGAACTCAAACTCCAGAGCCTTAATTTTCACCAAATGTTATAGTAGAAAAAGCGAAAGCACTAAGGTAATTAACTCAATACTGACTCTAGATAAAAACTACAGGTAAATTTTGGTAAATTTTTAGTATGTACCATCATATGTCAATATACCTGGAAACGAACAAGCTGATGATCTAGACAAAAAAACTCTTCAGAGAAACACAATGGAATATAAGGTGAAATTATCTAAGACAAAAGTATAATCTTTTATCAGTCTACAAATCAATAATAGATGGTCAGAAACATGGAAACATTTGGAAAGATCAAGCAACCTAAGACAGATTGTAGATAAACCAAATACTAAATCAAAAGCTTTAGGATAAATTAGAAGAAATGATCACCACATGACTAAGGTTAGGAACCACAAAATTAAAAAGTAACAGCAGTATAATGGTTAAAGATATCTCACCAGACTGTACGAATTGTAGAACAGAAGAGATAATAGATCACATTTTTTTCTATATTGCAATAGATTCGATCAGGCAAAAAATATCATTGCCGAATTAAAAAGAATAAATTTCCAATACACATCCATCAACCAGGTTTTAAAATCACATGAAAATGGAAGACTAGTCCATAAACTGCTCGTCGAATTCCAAAGAAAAATTGACTACTTAGACAAATTATAAACGGTAAATAGAATGGTCAAAGGGAGATAACTCCCAAACATCAGAAACCTACACAACATCATACACAACAGGAAGGATCTCCATGATACCAAGGGAGACTGTACCAGAGAGGATTACTACTGTTCGCTCTCATTCACTGGTGCATAGTGACATTTCATGAGGTATGTGGCGTCCTCCTCTGTGCCCCACCCCCAGCATTCACATTTGTGAAATAATCTGAAACAGTACAAATAAATTAAGCAGCACACACAAGTTAACACGCTCCTTCAATTATTTGTTAAAACAAACGACTGAATAGGAAGGAAAATGCACAAAGTCCACATTTAAGACCGTACAGCCAATAAAGTTCAAACATGATGGGAACCGCACAGCACATTCACAGAAATCACATATATAACTATAAAAGTCGGCATAGTGAACAGAAGCATACAGAAGGAATGGAGAGGAATCGCAGAAAGCTATAGACTTTTTGTAAAGTGATAAAGATAATATGATAGGAAAGGTTTTCAAGACGAGACAAACAAAAACGGATGGGACTTCAAAAGGTGGCCCGTGTGAGGATTGTCCCCCCTGAGACTTTTCGTAAAAGAGTAGGCGTGATAATACCGATCCATGGTTCGAAGGACAGTATCAGACGATACAATTATTTTTAAGATGTTAGATGGACTTCAAAAAATAAAAAAACATAAAAAAAATCATTGTATAAGTGCATTTGGTCAGTTATTTCGAAGGACGCGCCTGTAAAACCCTAACTGAGAACCCCTGTAGTTTACCTGGACAGGTGTGAACTATAGCCATCTCTTTCATGGGTTAATTTCTCGTCTTCTGACTCTATGTCCTATATGATTTCACATTTGAAAAGAACAATTGATTATTATTGTTACAATTAAAATTTGATGATTAACAACTGAAAACTCTTTATCAAGGATTCAGATCGGAAGGGATCTACAACATCTACCGTTAACTATATCTTAAAGTAACTCATTACAGTACACTAAGAAAAGAAGGACAATGGTTAGAAATTGATTAACCACAGCATTTTAAAAAGACATTTTTTCTCTACCATGTCAGTGCTTCTATCCAATACAAATACATAGTACAGAGCAAATCTCGAGTTCATTGAACCTGTACATTTTATTTCTCATTAAGATAGCTGTCACTCTTATTTTATATAATCCATTTGCTTGGTTGTTGTAGCACCATGTTTTTAATTTTCAAGCAAAAAGTCCGTGATTGTTATGCAAATTCAATGTAATGATATTTTACAATGTACTAAATACGATACTACCACGTCAACATAATAAAATTTCTTTTATCCAAGTCTTTAGTGACAGTTTGCTATGTTCAATCACGAACGTATCTGTTTCGTGATGTGTTTTGAAGATGACAAAAATTATATTAAATTGTCCTCTTTTCAAAACGGTATATTTTCTCTGTTATTATTTTTTAAATAAGAATAAGAAGGTAGCAATCATCCATGTTTTATTGGGATATAGCCATCATGGTTTGTGTACATGATAAAGATCAGTATCAACTGTTCACATGTGACCAGATGACCACATCATCTGGTCGGTCAGTGGTTATCTGGTCAGTTATTTGACAAACACGTTATTGAAAATTCACAAACCACGCACAAGATTGTTGGCAATGTACGTGTACTTTATCAAGTTATCAAACAACCTGTTGCATTGTGGGTTTAGTAAATAGAAATTACATTGGACATTATTGGTAAATCGTGAGCCGATCAAACCATTGTTGTTACAGTTCTAATTACACAGAGCTGGTCCATCCGAGAGTGGATCGGAACCATTCATATCGATGCACGGACACATCCGGGGTCTTTTTAATTGATTGTTGATTACTCTCGTCGCCATCGGCTGCCGACACGTCGGGCAGTTCCATTGTTTCCTGCACACTTTTCTCTTGTATTAAACCTTTGGTGTGTTCATAAATCGGACCTTTTGATCCTAACATCTGCCTCGAAATTAATTCAGCTGGAGATTCCGATTTGTCAAGTAGCTGGCCTGGTAGCTCGACCGCAGCCCTAGGATAGCTGGTAAATGGCACCAAGGTGCTGGAGAATACCGAAGACATGAGTCGCAGTGGCCTAGATTCCACTAATGTGTCGATTACCACTTCGTCGTCTGTTTGAACGTCAGTAGAATGAGTGCCAGTCCAAACAGGCTCCACGAATAATGTTTGGTCAATCTCGTAAATAATGGGTCGTTTACTCGGTCTGAAAAAGTAGTAACATCCCAACAAACACCTTCCCAACAGTGGAGCTGGGCACCCTTCTGTACCATCCAAACTGGCCATATCATCAAGGTCCTGCGAATAAGAACAAGGATTTCTGATACCACAAACAATTTAATTTGTACAATCTCTTTCACGTAAGTGTGCGAAATGCTTTGTCAATTTCCCATGATACAACACAACATTTAATACTTTCATTTTATGAGTAGATTCCCTTCAAAATTACGTAGTTCTGTCTTCTTGTGAAAACCTGTAGGAAGCAGTACTGTCAACAATGAAATATAATATGTCATTCCATGTTAGGAGCAATCAACAAGCAAATTTACAACAGAAACATTTCTTTTTGGTATTTTATGTAAATTATTCATAATGATTGTGAAGTCACCATACCTTTGGATCTATAGAAGAGGGGTCTACTACAATGTGGCGTCGCTGAGTCATGACGTGAATGCAATATAACCAAATCGTACAACCAAAAATCTGAAATAGAGGAACTTCATTTAATTGCATGACTATTTATTCAACTGGTGATACACGCACGTATTCTTGGAGCTCAAATGTCGTGATTTACAAGAAAAAATCGTGAATATTTAACTTTGTACATAAACCGTAGTTCCGAATTCCACTCGAGCTATTAACGAAATCAACGGAACTTAAAAACCTCCACTCCACCAATAACAGGATTCGTCAGTAATATGCTCTCTCTCTCTCCCCCTCTCTCTCTCCCTCTCTCTCTCTCCCTCCATCTCTCTCTCTCTCCCGTCTCTCTCTCCCCCCCGTCTCTCTCTCTCTCTCTTTCTCTCTCGCTCTCTCTCTCTCCCTCTCCCTCTTTCTCCCTCCCTCTCTCTCTCTCTATCTCCTGGATTTAAGAGATACTTTGTACTCATTTGCATAAACCATTCTTAATTAGAAAAATGAAATACAGCTCACCAGTATGTCCACCGCGTTGTGATGGAAAATCACCGTGATACAATGAATATGACGTCATCTAATTGTGACGTCATAATATATTGGTAATAAGTGGAGTTATGGATATTTCATTATGATGCGCATGCCACTACTCGAACTATGTGTCAACCCATCCGGTGTGTGTGGATGTGTGTGTATATGGTGGAGGTGGTGCTGGTGCTGGTGGTGTGTGTTTGTGGGTGTGTGTGGCGTTTTGCATCCTGGACCCAATAAATATCAGGCTTTACCAAGGACCCAGCCGAGGCCTGGGGCTTTAAACGGCCCCTAGAACCCTCATCGATTATTTTACGAATACATCATTTTCTTTCGATATAACCCTGAAATTACAAGATGTTCCCAGCGTCCAATCAATCTCAAAATCAAACAGGCAACTTAATAGACAAAGGAGATTTTGCGTAGTAAATTTATGAAACAGGACTTCAACTGCCAAAGCCCCTCGGATAAACCATAGTTTAATAGTCCTACGAAAACACTATCGTATATGTAACGTACTAAAGCAAAAAAACCACTTAGTTCAAAGCGCCCAGTCCATTGGTCTGAATTCAAATGTAAGAGAAATTGAGTTATCATTTCAATCACGGTCTACTACTACCCTAGACTACACAAGTAACGGCTTTCTAGCCACCAGGAAAACACTGAAATACTCAATAACTATTTCAACTTAATTTTGTGTAATGTCTCTATCACTGCCACTCAACCAATTTTCAAACTCTCTTACTGATATTGCTATAGACAAAAACGAAGTTTCTGACATTTTATCTATTCTTGATATAGAAAAGACAGTTGCTCCTAAGTTTAAACATATTTTGTTAGCATCAAATATATACAACGGGATTGGACACAAGTTATCAAACTTATATTGCTTCTGACAAGATAAGCCAAAGTATACTGAAGGCTACAACCAGAACAATTTCTGTCTACTATTTTGTTCAATCAGTCTATATGAGATGTGTTTTTTTCTTCTGGGCAGAAAAAAAAATCAGTAGGAAGTGACGATTATCGAAAACTAGTCGAAACTAACAGTAACGTTGTCGATTCCGTGTTAGCCTAAACAAACTAAGCGTTTTGAACTACTTTAAAGTCTTTTATGTTCGTGGGGATCAATTTTCATAGTTATTAGAAAAAAAACTCAATCTCATGGACACTCGATTCCTGGATAAATATAGCTCAATAAATATACTTATGATGAACAGGTGGCGGACATATGAATTCGTGGATCAACGAAAATAAATCGCCCACGAAAATTAATGATTTTACAGTACCTATATGAATCTTCACTTTCTGATTCTCTTCTTTCCCAATTCCTATTACCTCATCCAGCCTTTATGAAAATCTATCTAAACACTACATCCACATGCCATAAATTGACAAATATATGTAAATGTATTAATGTTTATAGTATTTGTTTGTCACGTGATGTAAATGTGCCATATTTTGATGTATTGATTGAGAAAAGTCCATAAGTTGTCAATTAAAATCTATGATAGCCGCCTGTTTGTATTTGATCAGTCAACAAATTGAATATTTACAACCAGGAACTAAGAGAAATCCACTTTTAAAATTTTATCAGCTATGACAACACAAATAACAATCTGTAATTGTCAAAATCCAAGTTTATAGTTTCTTATCTATATAAAATAGCATAACAATAAACTGGGGAGATCACCAGCACTTTCTAACAAATACCATTGTATCATAAAGGTCCAATATTCTGATAGTCACAATACTTCAAAAGTGTTTACCTTTTGTTACAATTCTTAATAACTTGACGTGAATGGGGAAAATGCAGTCAATTTATCTTTAACAGCTATCACGAATTTACTGATGCAAAATGTATATAAATTCGTCAGAGACCTAAAGGAGACCTCTATAGAATTACCACTTTGAGGGCTCCTTAGAGAAAAAACAAAAACAAAATCGCAAATTCGTACAAACTTAAATTGTTTCGTTATGTGAGATTTATTTATCTCTCTATATAGTTTCATCTATGTAAAGATACTAAACCCGGCATTGGATGCATATATTTGCACAACCTTTAGACATTTTCTTTCTGAAATCTACTTAACAAATGAAAAGTATTCACCACTAAACGGTACCGGTCTGCGTTTTTAAAGTCGTGTAGTTCCCCTCAAAATAACCCTGGCTGTTGACAAGACGTTCAACTCCAAACAATTCAAATCCAATCAAAGTGGCTATGCATTCAGAGTTTGTAATATGAGTATTTAATTTGTGAAATCAGTTACAAGTGTTGTAGTGACCTAATGGATCGATTTAATTAGGACCCCATTGCTGTAATGCCGCGATGTCAAAACTTCAGGAAATCAGACTACATTATATTCTGATGTACGCTAGTTTTTTGTGTGTGCTTTTTAATATCCAGTTCCGTCAGCGATTTGTTTTAACCAAATCTCATGTAATTCCAGCTTAATTATTTTCATTATTATTATTATTATTATTATTATTATTATTATTATTATTATTATTATTATTATTATTATTATTAAAGGAAATAACACTTATTTCAAAAAGCTTTTTTTTTCAATTTACCTCATGCATTGGACCTAGTTGTTTATAACCAAAGTTACATGTTACTGTAGTTCTGGACTCCAAGAACAGGATGCCATTTTTATGGGTGAGTAAATGATAAAATTGTAATGGGTCTTGTAAACCTCGGGGCAACATTTTTGTTCTTTGGGAACGCAATGTTGTCCGGATATAGATTGCCCGTCAGTTGGTTTACATTTTATAAGCATATCGCCACAACATTCGGAACACCTCCCCCTAACTCGGTAGAGGGCGCTGTTGGTTTCCGTTGTGGTTTTGTTTGACAGAAAGTGGACAAGATGTATCAAATCAATTCACGTAAATGATCGGCTATATAATAATCAGCTCTAGCAGATATATTTGTCACGACCAGACAAAATGGCAAAAGGTTAATGTTTTTTAAAACTCAGATATCGCGAAATTTTGCTTCTGTTCTGTTGCTTAACGCAGGGCTTGATTAACCTATCCAACCAACTGTCAATCGTTATTCTTCATGCAATTGCCTGCTCATCCCCTTTCCCCCGGTCAAAATATCGGTGATCGCCAATAGCAAGGAAAAAAGAGTCAAAACGACAAATGATTTCTTTTCCTGTGGAAGAAAAAAATCTGGGTGTTGAAAGTGAGTCGGTAAATTAGAGTCAATATAGGAATAAGAATGAGAACCCAGAAGATGAAAAATCACAGTCGATGAAGATAAAGCAGATGTACTTTGTAAGTTTTTCAGTAATGTTTTTGTGAAGGAAGAGGAGGAGGAAGTCACACCACGCTTGTATCAATTAGAGGTTAATGAAGATATGACAGTCTGGACTGTAAAGAAGAGGTTGTTTCAGAACTACTGAAGGCCCTCAAACCAGAAAAATCTCCGGTACTGGATGATCTCCATCGTTTAGACCATAACAAGTCCACTGACAAAACTCTTTATCCAATCATTAGCAACAGGAAGTCTACCAGATGACTGGGAAAGGGCCCAGGTTTGTGCTATCTTCAAGAAGGGAGACAAATGTGCAGCTGGAAACTATTGTCCCATTAGCTTAACATTGGTCATAAGCAAAATCCTGGAATCACATCTATAAGTCCATGAAAAACAACAATTACTTCTGGACCAAGCAGTATGGCATCTTATCTGGGGGTCAACATCCTTTCAACTCTTAGAAGTATTAGATAAATTGACAGAGGCGTTAGATTAAGGGGAGTATATAGATTGTATATACATGGGCTACAAAAAGGCATTTGATACCGTTCCACACAACTGCCTAATAAGTATATATTCTTATAACTTTTCAGAACAAATAATTGCATGGATAAAAGGTTTTTTCAAAAGGTCAGTTACAGAAAGTTAAGTAGATGGTGTGGACTCCTAATGGACCAATGTTACATCAGGAATCCCCCAAGGAACAGTTCATGAACCTCTGCTATTTCTTTTGTTTGTTAACAATCTTCCAGGCTCCATCCAGTCAGAAATGTACCTTTTTTTTTGGAGATAACACCAAGATTTTCAAAATTGTAAAAACCAGGGAAGATAGTGAATGCCTCCAAAAAGATCTAGATACAATGTTTATATGGAGCGACACATGGCTCCTTAAAATGCACCCAGACAAATGCAAACACATGAGATTGGGCAATGAGTCTGCTCGAGGACAGGAATCCTTTGGCTCAACATATCACCTCAATTGGACACACTTACAGTAACTCATGAGAATTTATACAAATGCCTAGTATGCTCACCCCTAGATTACGCCAAATAAGAAAAAAGCACATCTATAAAAAAGAGGGAGTGCAAAGAAGGGAAACCAAGAGCCTTCCAGGCATAAGTAACCTAAGCTACAGCCAGAGACTGGAGAGACTAAATCTACCAACATTAGCCTTTTGAAGAGTAAGACGAGATATGATTGAACTTTAGAAAAACTATTAAAGGAGTATACAACCAGGAATGCTGAAATTCAGTAATGTTGTGGGATAACGCTGCTCAACGACATAGTCGTCGGGTAAACTCAAGAACAATATATCCAAAGCATTCTTCAACCATGTTAAGGAAAAAAAGATTTTCAATTAGATCGGCAACCATTTTGGAATAAATTACCTGACCATGTCATTTAAGCAAGTAATATTAACAAATTTAAAAATGAAGTAGACAAACACAGGGAAAACCAAGACCTGTCCTTTAATTACAGAGCTGCAATCACATAATTTCCAAAAAGTATAAATGATGTACATTTGCAAGAGGTCTATGTAAAATAACTGTAATATTTTCAATATTTTGTATATGTTTTTTTAGTCTGGTATAGAGGACTTGCATATAAGTCCTGAACAAGAAATAAACTTATCTTATAATAAGAGGGAACATTCAGTCTGAAAGGAAATAGAAATATTGAGGGGCCAGTTTCATTTAATTATCACTGCAATATATATTTTTAATAGATTTGGACCCTTTCAGCTGGGAACAAAACTTTGTGAACTTTCTGACATGAAAGATCACCTGGAGTGCATTAGGATGCTAAAAATGTAACAGATACAAAAAAAAACATTTACCGATCTCTTGATGATTAAATTTTCTTACTGTCAGCATTTTCTGCATGAAGGGTATATCCAGATCATTAAATTGTGTTCATAGTGTTTACGATGTGTCTGAAGCTCCAGTTATTCTACATCTGATAACCAATCGAGAATAGCTTTTTCTGGGGTCGGAACAATTTAGCAAAATATATTTTTCTTAGGGTGAATGTTATGAATTCATGCATGATTGATCATTGTGATCCTAAGTGCATACAAACACTTACCCAAATGTTTGTTCATGTTCTAGCTCATCTTCTTACATGACATCTTTGTCCTTTATATCGTCGGTTGATGACTTCAGATCTACATGCATATAGTTGAATATGGAAATATTTTACAATGAAAGTTCAGATGCTGTAAAAAGACATCTTGTTTACATACTGTTCATGTAAATTATTCGTTTTTGTTTGCCTTAGATGGAAATATTCTACTGGACATAAGATAATATATAGAATGATAGTGAATGTTTATTTCAGCAAAATATCTCAGGAATTTATGAGATGATAAAAATTAATGTCTTTACATAATTTCTTTATCTCTGTTGCAGCTTGGCGAGGATGTAAGCCTCAAAGCAAGGAATTTTCTAGCTCTGAGCAACACCTGAACATTGGCAAAAACCCAAGCAAGGAAATATTTCTTTACACACAAATGAGACAGTATGGCAACCAAAAGAAAAGAGCACAAACAGTTGTGAATGATTATATTGCTAGAGCTTTGCCGAGTTTGCTGATAGAAAAAGAGTACGATCTAGGTGATATAAACAAGGTTTTTTCTTCTCACTGGCTGAATGAAAGACAGGTTGCCTTTGGCACAAAATGCAATAAAGTAAGTATTTTAGAGATTTTTAAAATGACATGATGATGTTTCAGGTTCAGATGTTCTTGATGTACACATATCCTCTGTGGTCCTGATTTTACTTGGGATAAGGGAGTGATGACTTTCAATCTGTGCTGTAATTTTATTATGTTTTTATACAGCCCTAAAAAAGCCTATTTCCTTAAGTCAAAATATGTGTTATTTTCCGAATATGATACAAAATCTGAAAATAATGGGCCCAAAAGGCTAAGTGAGCTTATGCGGTGGTGCAGTGTCCATAGTCCATCTGTTGTCTATCTATCTGACGTCAACTTTTCTATTTAAATGACTTCTTCTTAATAACCATTGAATAACAATGGTGTACGAGTTAATGTATTTATGATAAACATTGATTCCATTTTTCATGAACATCGAATATGAGGTGAGTGATGCAGGCCTATTGGGGCCTCTTGTCCCATCCCAATTTATAAAGGATACATAAGGAGAATTGGGGAGAAGGGAGTGGGGGGGGTGGGGGAGGGGGCACACATGAGTCTGTCTTCTTTCTATCAACACAATTAATGGTGATACAAATAACCATGTTGTTTCCTCACTATTCTACTCTTCAATTTTCAGTTGATGGTGTTGGATTCTTCGACAGGAAAACTTTTTCAAATTCCATCCATAAAAAGCAGCGATGATAGTTATCCTGCAGAGTGTCCTTGCGGAATACACAGCATTGCTTTAAACCCATCAGGGACATTGTTTGCCACTGGGGCTGAAAACACCAATGATCTGGCTATTTACCAACTTCCAACCTTTGACCCAGTGATGGTTGGGGAGGTTAGACTAATTCATTTTCTCATTATTATAATTAGCTTTCAGCTAGTACAAAGCTTCAGTTTAGTTAATGATACTTTGTTGAAGTTTTCATATTTATATATTTTATCTAGATAGTATGTTGTGGTCCTCAGGTATGATGTTCAGTAAGGTAGTCATTAGCGAGAGTTCCATGTCTGAAATGATCTAGGTTGTTCAATCAGGCAATTGTTAATCCCAGAAAACAAACAAATCCAAATACAGTGTAAGTAAAATATAGGTAGAGTATGGGCTGGGATGTATTAAGGCTGGGATGTTACCTGAAGTAAGTGTGCAGGTAAACACATGCACAATGACAAAATGAGGGTTATAAGAAAGCTGAGCAAACTTGTTGAGACTTCACTGTCTATCATTAGTGTCCATTGATAGATGACATAAAGATACACTTGAGTAGGCATGATTGAACATGACTTAACCATCTGACTTTGAATGAGTACACTCTTTTTCAAGTAACATAACATTGTTACATATACAATTGATTGACAAGGACATTTTTTCCAAACCTGTGATATTATGCAAATTATGGAAAAATGTAATATTTTTGCATACATTTATATCTTTAGTGTTGTATACCCAGGAATGTTTGTCATTAGCAGTGCCAGTCAGATATTGATTGTGATGTTATGACAAAGACATTACTTCATGAATTATTAAATGGCACAACAAAATGGCTTACTCTGTCATTTGATTTTGTCCTTCACATTTCAATTTTTATCATTTATTTAATCCTGTCAAAATTTAACTTTTTTGAGTTATGTTATGATTATAAGAAGTATTTTAAATTGATTTTCATTTCATGTATGAAATTTTATGAGTCTCATCAAGGATGTCAAAAGTGAAAACTTCCAAGACTTGTCTCATAATACAGCTGTATCTCATATGAAAAGTCATTTAAGATCGTGTCTATATCAATGAGCATGTTGTAGTATTATATATATATGTCTTATTCATGGGTTACATACTGAAGCTTTCTTCTCAATTTCAGAAAGGTCATACAGATTGGATATTTGATATTTCCTGGATAGACGATGAATTTCTGGTGACAGGTAAGTCATTAGACAAAATGTTATGTAATTAAGATACAGAAAAATGATACATCTGTTAGTTTTATATAGTAAGGACTTTTCCAGTAAACATCTATACCTCCCAAGGACTCCATGTTTTCCTTTGGGGTACTGCTGATAGAATTCATTCAATAATTTGTTTAGAAATAATAGGTGGCAGACTGAACCATGAACAACAGTAATTTATTTTGGAGTTCTTGGGCCAAATTGATGTTTTACTCAAACAGTCCTAACAGCTTTGCTTTTTGGATTGTATGTACAGTCTGTGAATAAATTAATTTTTTTATTACAATTTCTGATTTGTTTACAAGGCTCTCGAGACAGTCGACTGTGTCTGTGGCGAGTGGACAATGATGACATTGATCAGACCTCTCGGTTACAAAGTCTACAGGTGCCAGAGTATGCCATCAAGGGTCCAGAGGCTGTGGAGTACTGTGACAAGGCTAATAAAGTTCGAGCATTATGCTACAACGATCAGAGAAAGGTGGAAAAAATTTTAAAAATAGAATTTCTTGTCATCACACTAATATCACATTTTGAAATTACTTTTATGAAACTTTGTATGTTTTTATCGGCTTATATCAGACAATTTCTATCAATTGTCAGTTAAAGTTAAGGAATTTCTTACTTAGTTTCACTCCTTGTCATCACGTTTCACTCCTTGTCATCACGTTTCACTCCTTGTCATCACGTTTCACTCCTTGTCGTCACGTTTCACTCCTTGTCATCACGTTTCACTCCTTGTCGTCACGTTTCACTCCTTGTCATCACGTTTCACTCCTTGTCATCACGTTTCACTCCTTGTCGTCACGTTTCACTCCTTGTCATCACGTTTCACTCCTTGTCGTCACGTTTCACTCCTTGTCGTCACGTTTCACTCCTTGTCGTCACGTTTCACTCCTTGTCGTCTCTCTAGTTTCCCTATTTGTTGGCAGCTTTTACAAAAGAAAATTTACATACATGTAGCTCATACCACTGGGCATAAACAACATTAAGATATCATTAGGTTAAGATCAGGGTGATTTTTGCTGACAGTGCGTAAATGCATTATTCTGAACATGCTTGCTTTCATTAGCTATGTCCTCGCTTAGAAATTTTTTGGGAGATTGTAAATTACATGTTTTCCAATTGGTCACTATGGAAACCGAATAAGAGTCTCCTGATTGGTTTAGTAATTTCTATCACATTTAGGTACTGATTGTCCTTGTCGGTTTACTTTAATACTATAGATACTGAGTGAGCTTCTTATTCAAGTCTTTACAAATGGACTAACATGAAATGTTTCAGGGTGCATTCAGGCCCTGGAAACTTAGCATTGTCTTGAAAAGTGAAAAAGCTTTACAAAGCCTTCAATTTCATGAAGAGGCCTTGTCTTGAAAATGGTGAAAAGGTCTTATCAGGCCTTTAATTTCATGAAGATGTCTTGAATTAAGGATAAGGAGTCTGGAATTTGGTGGAATATATATTAAACATAGATGCCGTATTTGTTTATACTACAAATTTATGCGTACTCCAACAGTAACAGCGACATTTGCTTATTATATTATTTACATTTCCAGTGTTTATACTCGATTTGGCCTTACAAACAAAACTGATGTTGACAATTAAGTACACTTTAAGTCCGACAACAATTAATTACCACCAAAATGTATTCAGCTCTAATTTGCTATTTGATCAGTTGTCGAGCTGATCCATCAGAGCATATATCATCCCCTGAATGACACTTCTTTTTCTTTTAAGTAATGTAAATAATAAATAAGTGTTACAATTTTGTTTTTTGTGTTTTCTGGTATGTTAACTGCATCTTTTTTTTTTACAGATATTTCAATATAATACACTCACAAATGTCATTTAAAACATTTATAAAACATTGCAGTTTACATGCCAGTAAACAACAACAAAAAAAAAAGATAAAAAATGATTATTTCTTGATTTGTTGAAATTTCAATATTTTCAGATTTTGATCAATTTGATCTGGAAATTTTTTTAACACAGCAAACACTTCTGGTCCTTCCTTAACCATAATTTATGACAAAGGGGGCATTTCAAAATTTTGCAATTTTTGCACTAATTGTTATTATATCAACGACATAAAGGAAATGGAATTTGCACAATCATACATGCATTGACAGTGATCTGCTTTCACTTCTGTTAGATCCACTTGTACATCATGATTGTGTAATGGTTTCAGGAGTTAGCTGTCCTTTCTCTGAATGCTTACTTTTACCTCTGGGATGTCGAGACGTTCACAGCTGTAAGTATTCTTGAAATAGGTCTGTGATAATGTTATCCAAGACCTTCAGAACTTATAGTTGACTGTGACATAAATTATGATACCTATATAGCATTGTTAAATTTTATCATTTTTGTAGAGTTTTCTTTTTTTTTCTAACTAAAAATCATTCAAGACTTCTGTGCAGTCCTGATATGTTAGAGATAAATGTTTTAAACTCAGTTTAGCAAGAGTTCATGAAATACACATGTTAACAATTTATGAACTGACATTTTGCAGAAGACCTATAGACGACTCTTTCATACAAAGGAAAATGTGTGTATGTGTGTCTCAAAGGAAAAAACATTATATGCTGTTGGTTCACAGTCTCACATCAACCTTGTTGACCCTCGCTGCCCTAACACCCTTACAACCATAATCTCTCGTTATCGTGGTGGAGGTTGGTATATTTTACAATCTTCAAGATTTAATGGGCTCTGTTAACTTGATTACCGGTAAGTTATTGTATGCTCAGATTTTTCATCCTCTTCACAACTGAACATTTGTTGCTCATGATTGAACATTTGAAACATGCTGTCAGTGCCTACAAGGTGTCATAAGTACTGAATTCATAGTCTAATTAGAAAGACTAGATCATTACCTGGTAGCTGAAAGGATCATTCTCGGCAGATCCTCATGTTCAAGGTTAGAACGAGGTTTTCAAAGTTCGTACTTTATTTTGATAGTTGAGATATCATGAATCCTTTTCATTTTCAAAAATGTACGGTGATGAAATCAGCTGCTTGAATTTGTCTCATTATTACTCAACAGGGGTACGATCTGTGAGTTTCCGAGATGATGTTCTGACAATAGGAACAGGTGTCGGCAATATTCTATTTTTTGACACCAAAGCTGGGAAATACTTGGAGTGTGGTTGTGGCCATCCACTTACAATGACAGTAGGGGATGGCTTCTTGGTATGTTTCATCTAATGTGATAAAATTTTATTTTTTTCATTTGTACTGGAGTCAAATTATCGATTTATTTAATCAGTCCTTTATGATAGATCTTTCTCTTTGTACTACCAGACCTCTTTATTGTTATCATTCCAGAATATACTGATAAAAAAAAGGTTTAAGATTTTAACTACATGTATAAATTTTTGCAAAATGTTTTACACAGTTTTTATCTTTTCATTTTATAGTCTAGAGATGAGAACTACAGAGAATTTTTTATGGACAACAGTTATCCTAACGCCATCTACACACACCAGTTTGACAGTACAGGGACACGATTATTTGCAGCTGGTGGACCTCTACCAGCTGGACTGTGGGGTAACTACGCTGGTCTCTGGCATTGATATTACTCTTCATAGGACTCTGCAGCGAACATGTGATAGAGACATTGAAGATATAAAACATAGAATATCTAAAGCAATTAGACTAGATCTCATCAACTTATCAAACATGTTGGATAAGTCAATATTAATACTGTCATTACATGAACTCGCCAATAAGCCCAGGGATTGAAACTTTTTCTCTGACTCAACATATTCCTTAATTGTTGACAGTGAAAAAATAATAAAAGTTGATATGTCCACAACACTGTAATAATGCTGTGGGTTTATTATCAGACACAGCCTCTTAACAAATACTTATGGTACTCTACCTTAGTCAATATTTTTTGGTTTCATGTAACTAGAATAAGTTAATTCCACAATTAAATTATAGGCGATAGCTTAAATAACAATTGTTTGGCAGTTTAAAATTTGTATTAATTTACTTAATTAAATGTAATTTTGAAACTGTACACACAATCAAGTCAATTTTTTGGAATCAGTTATTTCTTTTAGAATATTTTCAGTTGTATATTATTAACTGGAACCGCTGAATGTGTAGGAATATTACAAGAAGTGATAGCAGACAAAGGTTCCCTCCTCTTATCACAAGATGAAAATTGAAAATATTGAACTGCTTTTAATTGGTGATTATGGCTTGATGAATGCCAACCGTATAAGACAAATTCAAAATGAAGTACAAGTTCATTATACAAGCTCTAAATTAATTTTAGGAATAAGATCTAAAATGTTTGGTTTTTTACTCTAACAATTCCTGCTTTGTAACTTGGACAGCATTTTCACAGTTAAATAAATAAGATTTAACCCATATTTTGATATGATAGAAATTATTAGCTTAATGACCACGTCTCCTCAAACCTTTCATAGTAGATATTATTAAAAAAACCAATGGTAATTTTACACAAATTAATGATGAAAGTTTTCATTGTATATTTAAACAAACTATTGGTGTTGAAAGTTTTAGGTGTAAAAAGGACACAAACAGAACACAAGCTGCTGATTGAAGGATAGGAAAAATGATACTGAAATCATGAAATTACGTTTCAATCAAAAGAAATTTGAGTTTAGCATACAACAAGCATGAATATACAGCTATTGTGACCAAGGAAAAGAGGAGCTTTCATTGGTAATCTTATCAAATAGTGCTTACCATAACAGCAGTATGATACTCTTTGAAGAAATCTTGTTGAATCTTGTCTTAAATTATTTATTGAATAATCATCATTTGAGACAAGCACATATACCTCACGGAAGTTTTGCTATACTAACCTTTTAAAAAGGTGCTTCACCGGATATGGTGACCTGTTCAGCGTTGGATACCAAACTGTTTGGGATTATTGCAATAGTAAACACTTCCAAGTTTTTTCTGATTTTTAATTTTTATTGATATTCATTCTCATAGTTGCTGTAATATTTTAAAAACTGTAAAGATCTGTGTTAGGGAGAAGAGATTTGCTTGTGTACTTCTGTTATATATAACAGGGATGTAGTTTAATGAATCTGGAGTTGGAAAACTAAAAACAAGTTTCCATTTTCTTCACAGTAAAAATATGATGACTGCTGTGTTTTTTTCTGTTTTGTTTTTTAGTATTTAGGAGGAATTTCCTTGGATTAACGATAAAAGTGCTTCAGTTGGAGCCAAAATTATTGAGTGATTGTCACATTAATTGAATGATATTAGACTTCTGGAATTGATTAATCACTGGTAGTACATGTAGGATATATCAGCATTGATGTATTCAATGAAATTGTCACCTTCATTTTCAAGCAAAATATTTGTTACCATTGAATGTAGCTATGAATTATAATTTATTTTTGGTTAAAAATAGTGTTTCCTGGTGGAAATTTATGTAAATGAGATTTTTAATTTGATTATAATTGTTTTTATATCATTTGTTTATGTGATAGACTGTATCACTGTAAAGGGCATTTATTGTGTGTCCAAAACAATATGATGGGTAGATTCAATATTTCTTATTTAAGAATTACAGGGACTGTCCCTGTTGTCTCATTACTCATTCAGGTAAAGTCGTAACATCTTTTCAAGAATTACATGTACAAAGGCAGTGCTGTCCATTTATAAATCCACAGATTCAATATTAGCTGGAACGATAAGGTTTTCCAGACAATATATCCCCAAAATTGTTTTGAAGGTGTGTGTAGTGGAGAGGGGTCAGTATTTTACTAGCATCAATTTTATCAATGTGTATATTTGATTAAGTTTTACCTTTGGAAAGTTCAATAATTTGATATTAAGTCAATAAAATTGAAATCAAATAATGAACTTTGTGTATAATTCTAATTGTAAAAATGATTGATATGTGTGTTAATATTAACACTTGTAAAAATTGAATTTTATTTGTATAAAACAATTTTTGTGTAGGATTAAGGCATGATTATGTAGTTACCAGTAATATGTAGATTGTTTATTGATTTTACAAAGTTGTTTGTTTTTTGTTCCTGTGCTGCTAACTACTGTTAGAAATATAACTTGTTGTCTCCCTTAAGGATGGTTTTCCCTAAGTGCAAGCTGAAAGCCCTACAAATTCTCACAACTTAGTATATATTTTAGCTTCTCCATCTAGTATTTTTGTTAAAAACAAATACCGTACTTCCCTACCATATACATATAACCCATCCTCAATACTCCAGGGGATACAATCACTTTCACTCTGTACCCCAGGATCATGTCATGGCAAAATTGAAGGCACTTGTTAAGTTTGATTTTGTGTGGGTCAAAAGGTTGATATTTTTTCTTGTGAGGGGATATTAAAAGATTTAATTATATTCTTGCAATAGTAAGATTTTAGTATCATTTGATTTAGGTAAAGGTACATTAGATGGATTACAATTAATGCTTTATTAAAACAATTCATTGATATACAAATTCATGGATTAATATTAGGCACGAAGTTCATGAAAATATATCCCCTACACAAATTTATGACTTTACAGTTTTGTTAAGAAGTTTGTGATCATTTTGACTTAATGCTATTTTCCTCAAAAGCTATAGGTCAATAATTTCCAGTTTGAAGATTTTTTCATGGTAATGGAATGCAATTATCTTTGAGTATCTGGATTATTGCCAACAAGGAGAAGAGAAATAACACTGTTGATGGAGAACATTACTGGGAATGGGGATACATATTACCCGAAAAGCAGTGGTATTTTGTATGTGTTAATACTGTAAAAAAATTCAAAATGAATAAGTATATGTGCAAATGTTCTCATATTGTAGAAAATTGCATTTTTAAATTTTAAAATAAATCCCTGCAATATGTATCAATTTTTTTATTTATATTTAAAAAATAATATCCAAGACGATTAGACTCTCTGGATGAGTCCTTTATATATAGAATACAAACAACAGAAGTAAAATTGTTTCTGGTTGTTATTCAAGTTTACAGAATATAGGGTTTCCTAAGACCGTACATCACCTCCTTCGAGCCGGAGAAGCCAGTGCTAGGACTAATGTCAATTAACTGGCTTAGTATATCAGGACAGACTAAGGCAAGACTTACCATCCGCTGTTAGCCAGGCAGCTGTAGCTAGGTTATGTGAGATCTTAACAGTCATATAATGGAGGAAGGATAGAGTGAGGCAAGACAGTCTGTCGGTGCTGTTAGCCTGCAGACTGTATAGCAAGGTCGTGTGAGATCTGGAGTTGTATAGTCAGACAGAGGAAGACCTGATTGAAACTGTTTTCAACTTATACATCACCCCATCACAAGTCTGGGCCCTTAAACATACACCAGGTGACCTGTTTGAATGAGATAGAATATTCTAGTCTTGCCTCGTCCAGCACGTCTCAAGTCGACACAGACCATGGTGCTGTCCCCTTGGTTAATGAGAAAATGGTGACATTATTTATTGCGAGTGTATAACACAATAATATCCGACACCATGTAGCCCTGGCTTAAAGTGTGTGAGACAAAAATTGGTAAGCCAATCTTTATATGGTTCGAGTGTTTAAAGTCAAATGCATAGCAATAGATACCGAGAATGGGTTTGAGCTTGGTGTGACAACCTACTGATGAAGTGTCTGCCCGATAGCTCCAGCTGCGGAAGGGAAGCTATCTTCAGATTAATCCCTCATGTCAGGATAGGTCACTTAAAGCTAAAGGGTTTTTAATTTTGTTTGAGGCTTAAGTTTCTTATAGCAATAAGCGAATGTCAAATCTTTTGTGTTATGTAGAATGGAAAATATCTTTTACACACATGCCTCATCATTACAATTGCATGAACTTTTTGGGAGCATAATTTATGTTTTTTCCTCTCCTGAAAATGAAATAAATAAAAACACAAACACTTTTGTAATATTACCATTTGTCAATTTATCATCATTGTTACAAGTATAAGAACATGTTTCAAACATGCACTGAATTTCTAGAATAAGCTGGCAAAGGTTACAATGATGAACCCATCAGGATGATTGAACACTCACCATGTATAGCAAGTTGTTCACTCAGAACTGGTCAATATACAAAGCAGGTATTTAATATACAATATTAAATTACTGTTTGAAAAGTTAGCTAGAATGTATTTTCCAAATAAGTGCCATATTACAAATTTGAACTGATTAACACAGATGACTGAAATTTTAGAAGCAACAAATTTTTGAACACTTTTTAGAGTTTTCCATACCTAAACCCAAACATAAAAAAAAACTTCTGTAGGAAAAAAACAAAAAACAATAAATTAAAAGTCTAATAGAATTAATTTGTTAATTCATTAAAGGCTATGCTGTGACAATGTATTAACTTACTATACACAAAATCAAGGGATCAATTTATGTACACAGATCAACATATCACTTTGGAGATAAACCAGAAACTATGGCGAGTCAATAGATTTCACCTCTTTACAGTAAATCTTAATTCTGATGTTTGACTAAATCACTGAACTTTCCAACAAGATTTGTAAACTTGGACAAAAATATCATGGACTAAAGTACACAACAGCTGAAAAAAGATTTACAAAATTTTGAAATAAAATGAAATAAACAAGGCAAAGTTTACACAATGAAAGGTTAACCATGACACGATTTACCACAAAACAAATACGAAAAACATCACACCTATCCTGATGGCTGTGTTTACTTGTGGTTTTCTGGCACACTTCCTCAAATAATTTCTGATGCAGCTGATCACAAAAACCTATTGATCATAAAAATGAAATACTGCTAGTATCAAAATTTCAACCAGTGTTTATCCAGATCGTGTAGACTATTGTAGCCCAACATGATTAACCCATTTCTGCTGAAGGTTTAAAAGTAAACATCAAATACTGCACCAATGATATGTTGACGGAGAAAATAGAATGCCCTGATAACAGTACAAAAGGTGCTTTAACATACATGAGTGACCATTAACCATATTTCAAACAGAAAAAAAAATTCTGTATTACCATGGCATTAACGATTTCATGGCACATATTTATACATTTTGATATATATCTCACAACACCAGCAAGCAGAAAATAAAATGAAATAAGATGTTGCATTCTAAAAGGAAAGGAATTCACCCAAAGGACTGAGGCCTATTTCAGTAAAACATCTACTTGACCAAAGGACTCCAAAAATAAATCACTTTCATCATGTCTGTTTCCTACCTATCACTTGTAAGCAAATTATCAACTGAATTACATGGGTAGTACCCCAGTAGTCCTGAGGTGGGATAGATATTTGACTGGAATAGCTTTAACCGGACTCAAGAGGTCACCAAAGAAATCTGTCTTTTTCTCACCAAATTAAATATAGTGAGCTTTAAACAAGAAAAGATTTGACCAGAAGGACTAATAGTGTATAACACCGACTGAATACAGATGAACATGTAATATAATGAACAAAACAAATATCATACAACACAAAAAGTACACCTGCCTGTGATATATTCACATAGCAATGAAGTGTATTCCTAAGTCATCACCTGTTTTTTTATTCTGTATATAATTATTGTTATAGTATTAGCTATACAATGCAAAAGAAATATAATACTCTTTTCATCATGTATTGTTTTTCTTCATTTAATTCAAATGAAATGGTGTAAAAATAAAATTTGGTGAAATGGTGTGGAATATAGACACTGAAAAAGATCAATCGTCTTTCACATTCAGTGACTGCATCCTATATTCAAGCTTCCTATCTATATATCTTAACAAAAAGTACTCTTCAAAATAATGAAAACATATTTCATAAAAGAAAATGAAATCAAAGTCCAGTGACATTTCATATTTTTGTTGAAATATTAATGATTTAAAGTTTAAAAAAATAAGGTAAAAATAAATGGAGAACTTGTAGTTCCAAAAGAAAGTTGACAAACAAGTCAGGTGAAGAAAACCCAGTGAAAAAAAAAACAGAAATTACAATGGACTACCACTAAAATGTGAATGTATAATTTTTTTTTTTTTTCCCCAATAAATACAGATTTCGTTCTTTAATTTCAAAACCATGGAATTTAACAAACAGTTGTTATTTCTGATCATATAACAAAGTATTGACTGACTTTCAACTTCAAATAATATATTGACTACAGTAAATCTACATTGGAGTTAATACACTGTATAAATAGTTTATTTTGCAATGCACAAATTTTGTCATTTGCTGTCAAAAGTGCTATATTCAATTTCAACCAAGTCATGTTTTTGCCATTGAAGAGAAGTTCCTTCAAAAAAGTTAGGGCAGAAACTAGGAAAAATTTAGAAACGGGCAAAAACCAAACTGTTATAGTTATAATTATATAATACAACATGTCAACTACTTGAGTAAATAAATGTAAAAAGAAAATTGTTAGTGTTCGGTAAAGTGTTAAACAGTCAACGAATGCCAGGTATAAACCAAGGTACAGGATGGGATGGTGTCAAATTTAGCAAGCAGTGAATTGATGTTATTAACTTGGCCGAATGAAACATTGAAAAATAAATTTCAAACTTTTATTTTGAGACGCAAATCAAGTTTTGATTTTTTATGGGACTGTTAACTGAAGATATCAAACACCCATTTATCAAGGACCAAATTTTGATCAACTTTCATTGTATACATATACTTAAAAATTGTGAGGTTTTCAAAACTACAATAGAACTGTAATAAAGATGAAGTACATGTGTCCGCAACAAATTTAACTTCACATTATACATACCACCTGTCAAGTTTGCACCAATACAATATCAATACAACGTCATCAATATGGGCAAATCTTGATCAACAGTAATGTCTTCATTCCAACAAACTGAAAATCAAGGTTTTCTTTAAAAGGCTATAATACATTTAAGAGATAAGTACCAAAAGTAGCTTTTGTATTCAATACCAGTAAAAGCAAATATAGTATCAAAGAGACATTATCATTTGTTGGGCTCTTGCTTGGTCAGGTGTCCTTTTTCTGAAATTCGGAATTTTTTTTTGCAAAAAGAAGAAAAACCAAAGAAAAAAACTCCACTGAATCCATTAAACATACAAACAAGTATATTATTGTGTTGGGTAATCGGCATTTGCAATATAATTTTTTTAGATACTGTTCACATTTTAACTTCTTTTTACAGCTTTTGTAAATAAAATTGTTCTTCTCAAATGATTAAAAACGCTTCTCTACAACATCAAAAAATTATTCCGAAAGCAACAGCTAATTTAGACAGCTTTAAATCTTACATGTTGTAATATTGTCAATTACACATCAAAAAATCATACTGTGGAAAAAAAGGTTGAGAAATATTCTAGAAACACTATTAAAGATGCAATGGTTTCTTTTCAAGACTTTGTAATTCACATCATCTAAATATTAAATTACTAATTTATGTTTGAATTGGAGAAAAAAGATCATGAATAATCTCGGAATATACTCGGAAAAGGTGGATTCTTTTCATTTACTCCGTTGTAACAGCTGAACTAGGCACTAATACTACGTTGAAGAATTATTTCAAAAAGACTGTTAAATTCAACCCTAGGTTTTTATCTAGAAAATCATCACAAAGAAAAACCAATTGTTAATTCAACAGACTACAAGGTTCAACCACATTTCTGTTTATCAAATTGCTTGTTCAGCTGTTCCAACTCTATATTGAAAATTGGCAATGCACATGCATAATGTGATTGCGAATGTACAATGCTGATTGCTGTAGTCTAGAATGCAGTCCACCGTTCTGAAAGTTTCTGAGATGTTCTGAAGTCGTGAAACACTTTGTCAATAACCAGGTTTGTTGTGTCTGTATCTGTAACCACATAAAATAATGTCTTTTTTCGTGTATTTTGCTTATTATCATCGTTGCAGTAATCGTTCCACTGCCGCATTCACATCTCCTAACGTAGCTTGTAATGCTGAAATAGACAAAGAGAAAAGACAGGTAATTTTACGTAAACTTGTAAGGCCAGAGATAAATCTTCATTTTCAAAAGTAACATATTAATAGACGTGAAGTTATGGTATTCAGGTGATACAATTTGCAAAGTTACAATATGTAAAGTTTTACTAAAAATTAGAAGAACTGACCTCGAATATTAGCCTCTCGGTCTACAAAACCCATCATGGCTAACTGATCAAGCTGTGATGCATACCTCTGTTCAGGTGGCTGATTCTGAAAGTTAGACAAACATTAGCAAAACTTCAAAGCCAACATCAATGACATAATTTTAGATGCTAAATCAGCATTGTTTACATATGGACTGACATACTGATAATAATGTCATTACAAAAACTAAAAGATAATACCAACATGTCAACATAATTATACTTCAGTCTCAAATTCAATAAAACTAGAGAAAAACAAGACCAAAAAAGATTTACACCAAGGTTCCTGAAAAAGAACACACAGAATAAAATTAGATGTTCTGGAAGCATAAGGGTCTTCTGCTTCATTGACAATACCCACCATTGGAATCTTGGTCAATTTAAATAAGCAACGTCATTTCTCAAATGAGAACAAAGTATACAACAATGAAGCCAACAAGCAAAAATAGCCTGCATCATGTCCTGGTTAAATCGCATAACGATATGGGATATGGCCCTGTGGCATATTGAGTTTATAATTTATTACATTACTCTATGATATTGCCATGTGACAAATGAAGTTCACACCTTATGTTATTGCCCTGTGACAATAGAATTTAAAAACTTACGACATTGCCCTGTGACATCATCTGCATCATATGTGACATCAGATTTGTAAGTTGTTCTTGACTGGCTGCAGGTGTGGTCCCCGTACTAGGGGTGGTACCTGCCGCTGTGGTGGTGGAGGTTGTTGAGTTCGTAGTGGAGGTGGCACCGCCTGAGGGAGAAGAAGTAGTAGTTGTTGGGGAGTCTGTGGTGCCAGGTGTTGCAGGAGAAGAGGTAGTCGGCACACCAAGAGCCATTGCTGGATTCAATCTGAATATCAACATAAACATAGTTTTAGTCAACATTGACCAGTTCTTCTGTTGTTTCTGTATTACTTACTGAGGGAAGATACCTGGAGCTTCAGACTTTTATATCTATGTTGTTTCTGTATTACTTACTGAGGGAAGATACCTGGAGCTTCAGACTTTTATATCTATGTTGTTTCTGTATTACTTACTGAGGGAAGAGACCTGTAGCTTCAGATTTTTATATCTATGTTGTTTCTGTATTACTTACTGAGGGAAGATACCTGGAGCTTCAGACTTTTATATCTATGTTGTTTCTGTATTACTTACTGAGGGAAGATACCTGGAGCTTCAGACTTTTATATCTATGTTGTTTCTGTATTACTTACTGAGGGAAGAGGTCTGGAGCTTCAGATTTTTATATCTATGTTGTTTCTGTATTACTTACTGAGGGAAGATACCTGGAGCTTCAGACTTTTATATCTATGTTGTTTCTGTATTACTTACTGAGGGAAGATACCTGGAGCTTCAGACTTTTATATCTATGTTGTTTCTGTATTACTTACTGAGGGAAGATACCTGGAGCTTCAGACTTTTATATCTATGTTGTTTCTGTATTACTTACTGAGGGAAGAGGTCTGGAGCTTCAGATTTTTATATCTATGTTGTTTCTGTATTACTTACTGAGGGAAGAGGTCTGGAGCTTCAGATTTTTATATCTATGTTGTTTCTGTATTACTTACTGAGGGAAGATACCTGGAGCTTCAGACTTTTATATCTATGTTGTTTCTGTATTACTTACTGAGGGAAGATACCTGGAGCTTCAGACTTTTATATCTATGTTGTTTCTGTATTACTTACTGAGGGAAGAGGTCTGGAGCTTCAGATTTTTATATCTATGTTGTTTCTGTATTACTTACTGAGGGAAGAGGTCTGGAGCTTCAGACTTTTATATCTATGTTGTTTCTGTATTACTTACTGAGGGAAGATACCTGGAGCTTCAGACTTTTATATCTATGTTGTTTCTGTATTACTTACTGAGGGAAGAGGTCTGGAGCTTCAGATTTTTATATCTATGTTGTTTCTGTATTACTTACTGAGGGAAGATACCTGGAGCTTCAGACTTTTATATCTATGTTGTTTCTGTATTACTTACTGAGGGAAGATACCTGGAGCTTCAGACTTTTATATCTATGTTGTTTCTGTATTACTTACTGAGGGAAGAGGTCTGGAGCTTCAGATTTTTATATCTATGTTGTTTCTGTATTACTTACTGAGGGAAGAGGTCTGGAGCTTCAGACTTTTATATCTATGTTGTTTCTGTATTACTTACTGAGGGAAGATACCTGGAGCTTCAGACTTTTATATCTATGTTGTTTCTGTATTACTTACTGAGGGAAGAGACCTGTAGCTTCAGATTTTTATATCTATGTTGTTTCTGTATTACTTACTGAGGGAAGAGGTCTGGAGCTTCAGATTTTTATATCTATGTTGTTTCTGTATTACTTACTGAGGGAAGAGGCCTGTAGCTTCAGATTTTTATATCTGTGTTGTTTCTGTATTACTTACTGAGGGAAGAGGCCTGTAGCTTCAGATTTTTATATCTATGTTGTTTCTGTATTACTTACTGAGGGAAGAGGCCTGTAGCTTCAGATTTTTATATCTGTGTTGTTTCTGTATTACTTACTGAGGGAAGAGGCCTGTAGCTTCATATTTTTATATCTATGTTGTTTCTGTATTACTTACTGAGGGAAGAGGTCTGGAGCTTCATATTTTTATATCTATGTTGTTTCTGTATTACTTACTGAGGGAAGAGGCCTGTAGCTTCATATTTTTATATCTATGTTGTTTCTGTATTACATACTGAGGGAAGAGGTCTGGAGCTTCAGATTTTTATATCTATATGTTATTTCTGTATTACTTACTGAGGGAAGAGACCTGGAGCTTCAGACTGTAGCTGCTGTAAGCCTGACTGTACTTGCATCATAGCCTCCAATGCTCTAGGATTGGTCATCACTCTTTGGATATCAGGATTCTGCATCTGAATTTGAAAAGACATTAGGTCATTTCTTTGCCCCATAGTTGCTTTTGAATCATAATGGACAAGTATACAAATTTCAATAACATCAAAATGATAAATTTTCAGCAAAATTTTACCAAATATAACGATACAAATCTACATCTTGTTACTTTCAATATTTCTGATTTCAATCTCAAATCACAAATCCGAATTCTGATTTTTCTCTTGTTTCACAAGGATATTGAAAGCTTGTGATGAACTGCTGATGAAATTTTGTCTTTGGAATTGAAATGGTAGCAAATGAAACAAGAGCAGGCATTATAATACAAATTAATTCAAAAACAGTTACTTCAGCTTTTCAGTGTTTGTACAAACCTGCTGCATCATGGCAGGCATGTGCTGCCTCATCTGTTCCTGAAGCTGAGGATTACCAGCCAACATAGGGTGAGCACTCAGCATCTGACAGTAGTAAACACAATGTTATCTTCTTTATCAAACAATCATAACATCCATCTCATCAAATTAAAAAGGCATTCCTTGATGCCATTAACTTTTCAAAAAATAAATTTTATGTGGGAGTTGACACCTGTATCAGGCAATAGCAATAATTCCTTACATTTGATGACAAAAATCATACTAGGATCTCTACATATGATTCAATGAGAAACAACTTCAATCGACTACTTCTGCAGACTCTCTCTCTCTTTTCCTCTCTCTTTACTTACATAATTTTATTTGATTTTGATCCAATACCCCCTTTTTTAAAGCCTCCTCCTCTAATTTGCTACAAATTCCATGGCAGATACAACCATAATAACTGTTTTCCTTTTTTTTCTCCATTTTGTAAACAAAATGATATCTAAATGGACATGGAGATGACCTACCTGTTGTGCCATGTCTGGGTTGGCAGCCATGCTCTCCATCATCGACTGCATGTAAGGTGCCTGTAGCATGTTTTCTATTAACTGTGGGTTCTGTGTCATTTGCTGCATCAAACTCTGCATCCCTGGCGTCTCAAACATTCCTAAAGCAGGTGTTTAGATGGTAACTATTCAGCCGCTAATTGATACCAATTCGACAAATGAAAGTTCTTCAAATCTATAATCAGTAGGAAGTTTCCATCCAAAACAGAGATGCTGCCTTATTATGTTATTAGTCATATCATAGTAATTACACTATAGAGCATGATATGACATTACAAAATTATTGGATACTAAATAGGGACAAAATCAGTCAACATTTATATCTGGGAGAAATTACAGTTAATGGCTAAAAAAAGGCTGAAACATCTTCCGCCACACACTAGTATAGTTTCATAATACTAACCCCTAGATGGTGTAGTGGTGCTGGAGGTGCCTGTGGTTCCAGATGTGGTGGTGGCACTGGGGGACTGAGGAGCCCAGGGGTTGGGCAATGGATCTGTGTTTTCCCTACCTTGTTGACCATCTGCATTGGTGTTTGCTGTAAAAATAAAAACGCAAGTGAGCATGAGCTTGATGTACTCCCCACCCCCTGATCTATGGGTCACTACCATGGTTTTTTTTTAACACCTCAAAGATGTGTAATTTTAACATCTAACACTTCGATATTTTTCATTTTGATGAAGCAGTTTTGCTGCAAGCCTATTTCCTTCTTTGTCTGGTGTTTAAAAAAATTGATACTGCAAGTGGCTTTGACAGTAGATTAGGGAGATCTAAAATAATATTTTTAGCACTTAATCAGAATGGACATATATTTACTGACAACATTTATACAATTCTATGACAGAAATGTTGTCTGTTTACATGATTATCAGAAGTGTTCACAATACCATGTCTAATTTACAATTTTACAAAATCGAGATGAAACTCAATAACATTGACAGAGAAAGATGTTAATTTTTTTCGTGTTTTTTTTTCACTTCGACATTATCGTACACAAATCATCTTTGATATGGGAAGGCATTGTCTATGGACCAAAATCTGATTATAAACTTCCATGAACATGCCTTGTTTTTGCATATAGTGTAAATCACGATCCATTCAGTGTTTCTTGAGAAATAGCAATAACAATCTTTACTAGGCAAAATCCATGACGGCTACCTGTCTGCCAATTGTTTTATCTGATCAGTCCCTAACTCACACAAGCTCAACTAAGAACCTAAGGGAACCTATACATAAAATTTGAGACAGATCCATCCCTTACTTTTCAAGAAATACAGATAACAAACTTCATTGAAAAAAATCCAAGATGACTGCCTCTCAGCCATTTTGTTTTTATTTATCCGTCCCAAATCAAACAAGCATTATAAGGGACCTAAGGGAACCTACATATGCATTTGGAGAAAGATCCATCAAGTACTTCTCTAGAAATAGCAATAACAAAATTGTTTCGGACAGACGAACAGTACATGGATGGATGCAGCGTGATTTGATTAGCCCACCATCTGATGATGGTTGGCTAAAAAAACAAAAACCAAAAACAGTCCATGCACATACTTACAGTAACATACCATGTAACCCCGAAATTTATGTGAAGTGTGAGGTTAAACTACAAAAATCAAACTGTCAATTTAAATCCAGTTATCAGATTTTGGCAAAAACCTTGACAGATGGTGGCTGATTTCATGACGTCAATGTCTATGGTATAGATATAATCTAATAAACTGACACATACCAAAATGTTAGGTATGTGACTTAATATGATAAGAGTATTTTAAAGATGATAAGGCATTTGTGTTTTATTAATGTCACAATCAAAGTCTCCTGGTAGACAAATTGCAGTCTGTAAAGTGAATTTTAGCCAAAATCTTTTCATAGTAAAGTTGACCTAGCTTTTTAAACATCAAAGGTAAAATCTTGATCTCATACAATAGGTGATCTATGTGAACACATATATGAAGTTTGGTATGAATCAGACAAGCAATGGAGCCTTAAGAACAATGATATGAAAATTTTGTAATAAGGTTTCTATTTATAGTATCAGCGACCTAGATTTTTAATGCACAAGGTTGGAAGTCATTTTTTTATGTACAAATATATGTATGGGAGTATTCCTAAATACCCTTGAAGACTCTTTGTATGATAATTAAATTGAATATTACGACCCCAAACACCCACAATAATTTGATTCATCATCACCCCCTCCTTCCTCCAACCCTCCCTGCCCAACCTCAATATTTACATATCAGATAATATGTCATGCTACTAACCTCCTGATGACTCTCCAGGGACAAGTGAAGCAAAGGGATTCCTGCTCCCAAAACCTTCCTGTGCTGCGTTCATCATCGGTTCCTGAATATCATGGTACATTCTCTGTAGAGCATTAAAACCACCGGGAATACTCTGTGGATGAAAACAATGTCTCTTTTTACATCTATCTACTAGAATTAGTCAATGTATACATTTGTGTACCCAATAACTACCACTTCAATTTCATTGAATAAGAACTCTGTATTTAAGTTCATTTGAACAACTCGAATAATCTGTGTGAGGTATACCTGTATAGTATAGACATTTAAACTACATAGAATATGTGCAACAAAAATCCTTAACTTCTTTCTGCAACTGAGCAGGTTATCAGCAGTGAAAGACAAGAGTAACAGTTTTCTATGGTAAATGTGAATGTATGGTTCAACATTAACATTTATTCCGAAGTGATTTAATATCTAAAACTTTTGAGAAACAATTTGTTACCTACCTCTAGATTACTCATGGCACGGTCTTGTGATCTCATTAGCTCCTGAAGCATGGCAGGGTTCCGTGCCAATTCCATTGTCTGTTGTACAAAACAGAAAAGACACGTAAATAAAGAAAAAAACTTTTAAATGTCCAGTAATTTCTTATGTTTTTTTTCTTACAACACTTATAATGATAACTATTTAATTACTTCTTCAGAAATCTCTTATTCAACAAAAATAATAAATTGCTTAATACATATGCAAAATAACAGATTCAGGCTGAAAAAATTATCTTGTCAATCTATAAAGAAATGAATCTTTTCTCACCTGCCGCATCAAATCTGGATTGTTCAACATATGTGTAATTTCTGGATTTCTCTAAAACACAAAATTATTCCAACATACATTAGACTACAAGAATCAGCACAGTAGTGTAAAGTTTTACTATTGTGTTACTTTTACCAGTACTATTTCATTGATTTTAACCCCTTGTACTACTAACAATGAAAACAATGGCAAGCAACACACAAATCTACTTACTGAAATTATAGAACAACAGGTCACATGTCTACCGACTTCATAAAATGTACATCACAAATTTTGTCTAATTGGTATTACAACTTGAAATCTTGTTTGATGTGTTTTTCTCCTTATGATTACAAAACCAGCCAGAAAATTGTTTTTGGTCGAGGGATAAATGAAGTATTGTGCCTTCTTTAATTTCCTAGTCCTTTACTTCTGGAAAGGCCTGATTATAGTGACATATGTACATACATTCAAGATCACAAAGTTCAGTGTTCTTAGTAATCTGGATGAAATGTTCCTATATAATTATAAACTTTCAGAAAATTTCCACAAATTATTGGCATCTCTGCATACTGTCAGTAATATTGTAGTTTATTACACATATTATCAAACTTTAAACAGAACACAGGCCTTTTTGGATTTATTTCTTTTCTGGAAAAATAAATGTTTTTAATTTATAGCTTTAATTCCATTCATGATGTAAATGTAATTTCTGAAATATTCTACAATTTAAAAAATGGTATTTTCAGTTTTTTTTATCAATTTATTTAACATAAAAGAGATATAAATAAGGTTTCAGATTATAAAGGTCCAAAGTATACAATATTTTTAGAAAACCCTCTGCTTACCTCCATCAGCTCCCTCATCTGTGGGTTGGTGGTGATCATCTGTCTCATCACATCAGGGTTCGACATGAGCTGCTGGACAAATGGATTGTCCATCATATTACGTAGCATTTCTGGGTTACTCATCATCTGAAGCAACATAAAATCATCTGTGAATGAAGCAACCAAATCAGTTTTGAATGGATTTACTCAACTCTGAACAAGCCCATTTTACATGCTATAAGAACATTGCACTTATTGTTGTACAATCAGAACACAGAATACTTAGTACACCAGGTTCTTCGTAACAAGCTTTAAATGAACAAATTGGACAAAATAATGCAAAACAGTCCTTGGGGAAATGCGAAACTGCTCTGCATAAGATTGTGACAATACCTTGTGTGAGACTTCTGAAAACTCTGAGAATACTGTGTTAGATTTCTTTGCATGACTATGTGACTATTCGATGTTAGATTGCTTTGCATGAAACTGTGTGAAACTGATCTATGAGATCTGTCACTGTGAGAAAAAAAACATTGTATGAAACTCTATAAGACTGATCTGTGACAGATTACAATGTGAGAAACAATACTACATGAAGCTGTGAGAGACTGATCTGTTTACAACATCGCTGTGAGATTATATGAGACAACACTGTATGAGACCATGTGAGGATATAATCTGTCCGAGATTGTGATGTCTCTAAAGGGCTGTGTTGTGCCTACCTCTCTCTGTACCCTTTGCTGCATCTCCATGAAGTTAGCTGAGCCCATTCCAAGGTTACCAAGGCCTGCCAGTCCTCCAAGTCCACCTACTCCAAATGGGGTTTCAGCAATGTTTGGCTGCCCTGCAGGGGGCTGCAAGTTGATGATTGATATCAAGTCAATAACCATCCAATTCAACATACTAACAAATAACAGCATTTTTTATTAATTAAATCAATACTTCTGTCTTATCAAGTGAATCTATGTTATTTCGAACATGAATCCAATGGTCTAAAGTAGTTTGGCATTTGTCAGATTTCTTTATGTCAATTCTGTACGGAGTGTTTCAGGGTCTAGATGACACTCTCAAACCCTCATCCAACCATATTCAATCTTAATCACACACCATCAAGTGTGAATCCTTTTGTCCAAACATGAATGTGATTTTTTTGTAGACTAACAACATAATTTGACTTAACCTAGATTTAAATCAACCGATGTTCTACCAGAGTAAATAAAATATTCCAAAAGACAAACATACCTGTACTCCAGCTGGAGAAGGTGCTGATGGACTCGCTGCAGCGCTCACCTCTGCTGCCTGTTGTTGTGACTAAAACACAGAAAAAAATGGCTTTAAACATATGTTTTGATATAAATAGTTACTGATGGCAATTTTCCAAAAACAGTTTAAACAAGAGATCCTAGAGGGATCTTGGCGCAACCATTGTTTGATCTTAATGATAATACATTTGAACATTTCTTTGCAGAAATAGCAATGATAATCTTTACCTGCCAAATCCAAATTCTGATAATGGTGGACTAAAATTTTACTGCTGCAACACTGTACTAAATACAATATCCCCCTCAAATATACAGAAATATAATGTCTATCTGACCATTTAAAAATATCTTCGAAAAATACAGTGATAGCTTGCTGCTGATCATTAGGAAACAACTGAAAGATTTACACCAGACTTTTGTACTGGATAAGAGTAATGATAGTTACTTCCCTTTGTAAACTTAAAAAATATTATAACATTACAACATTTATTATCATAAATTATAATTGCTAATAAGCTTTAAAGGAAAATTTAATTCCTTCCTTCCAAATCAATTCTCTACATCAGGTATCTCTGACTAGTATCACATGATATAGATAAACAGTTCATGGAGGGAGCCAGGCCAGGAAATCAGACTTTAAATGGACATAATTTTATTGAAGGCAGTCAGAATAACTTTCATCCTAAACTGACTGTTTTACTATGCTGGTAACGTTTCCATTAAAATGTTGATAGAAAATAATTATAAAACAGAAACCAAAATAATAATAATAATTCAATAGTAGTGTACAAAAAATCTATTAATTTCATGACATTCAAATAAATTGTTTACAAATTTAAGAAAATCATGTGAAAGTAGTGATTTTAATTCTCTAATCTTACCCTGTTTGCCGATTTGATGACCAGATGAACAGTTAACCCATCCTTTATTCCATGCTGCTCCAGTGTGTCAGCATCTTTCAGAATTTTACCAGCAAAGATTAAGCACAACTGTTCACAAGGAGAACTAAATTGTTTTGCAACAATTTCTCGAAACTGAAAAAAAAATTGAAAAGTTTTGTATCATTTTGTCATGATATCTTTCTAAACAAAAACATTTTCTTAATTAACAAAAATCAGTAATGAGACTGTACATTTTACATCCATATTCCTGGTTTTAGTTTGCTCCTTCACCATGAGAATTTCTCTGCAAATAACATTTTAGGGAAGAATTCACTTGATCATATCAAACATATGCTTGGAAGATGGTCATTAAATTACTTGGAGGTTTCGGGTGGTGAATGTAGTTGGATTCACACATTGATTTTGTTATTAAATAGTGTAATTATATAGGACATGCCTTATCTTTTTTGCTTGTGTCATCATTTAAAAGCAAATTAAGCAATGATTAATGTCACTTCCTCCATCCATATATATAAATATTAAGGTATAGTAATGAAACAGGAAGTGAAAATTTTGTACAGTCTTTAATTCCATAAATTATATTCTATATATATGAATATTAAGGTATATTAATGAAACAGGAAGTGAAAATTTTGTACATTCTTTAATTTCATAAATTATTTTATAAATGACTGTTTTACAAGAAATAAAGACTTTGTTGCCTTTTCTCAAATTACACCCAAAAATATTGAATTCATGTAATCAATCTATTTGGTGGGTTAAAATGGCCATACTATAGGGTAACTATAGAATCAGAAATATATTCTAGTTTTAATAGAAAAGCACATGTACTTTATGAGAAACTGGGCTTGCTTAACACAATAATTCAAATTTCAGCTTCTCAGCACATCATATCTAATTACACAATATTACACAATACTTCCCAATTCTGACCCAACACTTCAATATCAATTGATAATTGCAAATAATCAAATATCTAACTTTTCATAAATTACTAGACCAAAACTACTCTGTACACTATTCTACAACAATACAACAAAATAGATTTTTTCTTAAATATTTACTTAAGACATGTTATGCCACTTTATACATCAAATGTCACGACTCAATACAAAAGCTTTCACATCTAGCAGTTGCATTATAATTAAACAAGTGATTGTGTAAACTGAAACCAGCAATTCTATTAGGCAACCTTGGCCTAGTATTTGATTAGAATTTTAATTGGCTGAAATTACAAGGGTCTGGAGCCTAATTAGATACAGTCATTGGAAATAGTATTTCTAAGCTATAGCTTATTTTTAAATGTGGTATAGTTTAGTAGTCCTGAAAAGGGCTGATTTTAGTGACATCATTTACAGAGATATTGATGGATTCTTGAAGTACATCTGTTTTTCTGGGTGTATTAAATTTCTGCAGTATCTAATTTTCCTATCTGATTTTACAAGTATGTTTAATCATGCAACCATGCATGAAAAAAATCTCAAATACATCTTCAAACAAACTTGTCTCTGGATGTTTATCATGAAAAGAATCATCTATTTAGCGGACATGATGTGTTAATGCCTCTCTGATGATAAGCAGATGGATTTTAATCAAAGTTTGAAATATCCTGTCTTCAATGGGTTAGAATCAAATATGTTAAGATTCAGAGTATATATGAGTTCCCTTGTCTTTAGGTAAATCAAATTTATCATCTCTACTATTTAAATAAATTTATTAGTTGTCGCAAGGCCACTCTACAAGCAAGCTTACTGCATTTTCATTGTGCAAATAATTAATGAGATCAGTATGAAATAATTCTTCATGCTTTTAATTACACTTTTTTACCTTGATTATAATTTCATCTTAAAGATAAATAAAAAATGACTTATGTTGATACTAATGCCACTTGATAAAAACAGTTCACTAACTGAACATTTAGAAACACCTGTGCTGATAATAGTTTCTTTTATATTGTTCATTCCATTCCACCGGATGTTTAAGGTTGATCACAGAGCAAGTTTTTAATTCATAATTTGAATTGTTTCTTTTATTGATCAGAATAAAACAGACATTAAGCAGACTGCAACAAAAGATAGATAAGCAACAAAAATAACAACAGAACTTTGAGGAACCTTTGGCACCCACCATTGTTTTATATTTATTTGTTCTTTCAATGTTCAATCTTTCCCCTTTTTTCCTCTTATGTAGTACTTAATCATATGAAATTTTAAAATTACCCATCAGAAATCATAATCTTAACTGTCAAAATCCACTAAGGCCATTTGTCATTACAAGGCTCTCACACCCTATTTTGGGATTGGGGCCCAGGGCCCTTAGAATTGGGGAAAATAGCAGCAATTTCCTTAGAACTGGGAAAATTTGGGGTCTAAATTGGGAAAAAAAGATACTATTTTGCATTGGGAATGGGGCCGAATATTGCCAGAAGGGCACAACTAAGGACCAAAAGTAAAAATACACATGAAATTTGAGAAATCTCTGTCTCGAAATTCTCAAGAAATAATGATTACAAATTTTTATAGTTGAAATCCAAGATGGCCATTTTTAAAAATTATTCCCAAATTTTTGTGGTACTTACATATGAAATTTGTAAAAGAACCATCCAGTACTTTGTCTAAATCCATGATGGTCATCATTAAGCCATTTAGTTTTTTATCTGCCATAAAATCACAAAAGGGCACAAATACGAACCAAGGGGAACCTACATATGATATTTCAGATAGTTCCACTCAGTAAAAGAAATAGTGATAACAATAATTATTTACTGACAGAAGGCAGACTACAGTCGTAGGGTGATTTGAATAAAAATGACTTAATCAGTGGGTAAAATTGGTCTCGACATGAACTTTAAAAATATCTGTGTCCATTATCTGGAGAATTGACATTTTTTTAAAAAATTGTTTCAAATTTCCCTCAATTCATGGTACAAAATAACTACTGTGAAAATAATTACGAAAATCAGTCAATCATGAACTTGCATGGTGTGCTTGCTGACTAATTAGTTTCATCGTCCGAGATTTTGCTATTTACAAGTAAACTGGAAATGCTTAAAACCTTGATCTCACACTATGTTCCTTGAAGCTGTAGCTACCACACCCAACACTTGGACAAACTGCAATTGCACACTAGATTCTAACCACCATCCCATGCTAGTTTAATTTAATGTTAAACCATAATGATAGCCTTGCCTTCTAGAATAAACTCTAGTCATTTCAGTACTTACAAAATATTTTACAAAGCTAGAATGTCATTTTGAGTGATAGTTTTTCAGTAACAGAATGAGCAATATTTATCAATGATAAAACACCTTAAAAATCTAATGAAAAACATAAATCAAAACATTTTTAAAAGTACCGAAACAACTTATTTGAAGTACCAAAACAACCTTGTACCAAAACCGACTTGCCCTCTCTAGAACATTAATGAAAACACTCTCTTATTTACCCATATTTGTTAAAACCAGGGTAGTAATGGGTAGTTCCTAGTAATAGTTTTTAGTATTGGGTTAGTATTTTAGCTGGTATTGGGTATTTAGAGGCGCCCTATTAGCTGTATCCCTAATTTTTCGATTTGCTCAAGTGAGTAGTATTGCGCATATGCACCATGTTTTTGCAGAGAGTGTTTGAAGTTTTTATCCAAAAATACGAAACATTCAATCAAATGCAATGTTGCGACGAACTTGTTCAACCTAAAATACAGAAATGTAGTACAAAGACGAAAGTACAATAAAGACACACACACAACCCCTTGGATAAAAACTAAGACGATATTCTGAACAACTTATTTATTTAGTAATGCAAAAGTTGCATGCATGTACACTTTAAAATGATTTAGTATATTTATATTTTTACACCAATGGCATATCACCATCAATTGGATTTGACGATTTATGATGTCAAAAGGTTTTGAAGGTGTGTCAATCTATCTACTGTGACACAGCGAAGACTGGCGACCAACTGTTGAGACCGACAGATGTCGGCAATCACCAACAGATTACAGGGATTATATCCGTGGACAATTTCGGAATTTCAGAAACATGTTTACCTCTTTCACTGATGTATCTGTACTGATTTCAATATCTTGTTTTTCTTTCGGCGTTTTCACCGAAATTGTCATCATCTTAGGTTCAGACTTATCGTCATCAGCCATTTTGATTTATTTTTGATGAATCATGGGATATATATCGGTCGTCGAAATGTTTGAAAGATATTGTATATTAACCGGAATTATTTTCCGGAATTAAACAAAATCCATACCAGTTAGCAAGCTCCAGTTAGGAAAAGCGTCTATCAATTTTCAAACTAGAAAGAAAATAATAACAGCTCGATAATTCTTTACATTTTCAGCCCGGATAACGAATCCTTTTCATTGGTTGGTATTACGTCAAACTCTTAGCATAAGTACTGTGTCGCCGGGACTTGACGAGTTTTTGAGCATATCAAAGGCTGTCCCAAAGACCACATCAAAGTACTTGTAGAGAGCTTCTTATGGTATACAGAAAAATTCGTCCTGATTTGATTTAATTCAAATGCAAATTTTGACTATGATATGATTTTAATGCAAAGTTCAGCTAATCCAGCATTATATATATCGTCGTATTGTCACTTATCAATCACCGAATCCGTTTTATTCCTTAGAATTGCTGTTCAAGCGTATTTTGAACACCGTCACAAAGTGCGTGGCCGTCCGAATCTTCCAGAATGGGCGATTGATCGCTGTACAGTTATGTAAAATAAACAATTGTTACCCAATTTTTCTGATGTTTTCTATTTACTAAAAAAAACTATGATAAGAGGACGGTGTTTCAAATGGGACGAGACACTTTCTGTCTAATACATACATATACTTAAAGATTGAACAGTCGCTGGTCGAAACGCAGGGTTTCTTCAATGGAAAAAAAAATTCTATATCAAGGCTCACAAATTTGACTAAGAAGTTATCGTTGTATCCATTTTACTTTGGAACCGAAACCTGAAAGACCACCTCACGTGACTGACGCCGCAAAGTCCATTGAATGTGTGACTCCGTTACAATACATGTTAACAAACCGCATGTCCCCATTTTTAAGGGATTTTCGTTTTCTTCTAACTCATAGGTTTAAATTATTTTACTTCTTCATGTTGTTTTGTGATGTACCAGCCGTCAGGGAAAGACCCCACCTCGAAGTGAAACTGGCTGTTCACGGGGCGATAATTATAAACCCAAATTAAATAAATCAGTTTGAATTGGTAAAACTAGAACTTTCTTTATTGTGATAGTAAATGTTCTGTGTTGTGCTGATAATAAAGTGGTGTGACACTGAAAGATATCACATTAGCGCGTCCAAGTAGCATTCACGGTAAAATATGAACTTAATTTAATTAAAGTGATATTAATCACTCCCGTTTGGCTTGACAGAAGCACGCGAATGATCTGGCTGTGAGAGAAACTTACTGGAGTACCAGTTTGGGCAGTTAAAACACATACCTTTTAGTTTTGGGATATATGTTCGGCGGGAATCGAACCTCGGCCGTCATCGCGTTTCCAAGGCACCACCTGACTATATACCCACAGAGACTATAATACACATATATTACCAAACACATATGCACGCACACATGGGACACTGTGTCAAACTACAAGATTTGTTGATGTGATATTTTACTGACAGAAGTAAAAGATACGTGTACCACAAATTCATTTTGAATTTGAATTCTGATATCACATACTGAGAAGACTATTTTCACAAATTTCCCATGCTGAATTCATCATGATTTTAATACAAGACATACCGACCCACTCATTCCACAATTCTCCCAATGCTATTCTTGAGATTTTTGAGAGAGAAAAAAAAGAAGTAAAAATTGGCAGCAAACACGAAAGAGAACTACACAAGGCATATTTTTTTATTGAAAATTAACATATAGTTATGTTTCTCTTTTATTGGTCATTCATATTCTCGAATAACGGCCGTACTTCAGGCAGAAACAGGTGGAATTTTATTTTTGTTTTATTTGCTATTTTCTTTTTTCTTATAATTCAGGTTAGCTTCACAAGAAATATTTTTTTAAATATTGATGCAGACACGAAATGATATATCATGATTCAATGTAACATTACGTTTTATTAGAATTATGTGTTGTACTTTAGAATGACATACATATATACAAATATATACGACTAACCCAATAATAATATTCTTTTTTAAACTTATTTCAAACTTAAAAGTGTAACAACAATTTTTAAAACAAATTTTCAAACGGAAAAGACGCATGCCGGAAAAATTCGCTTATAAGCATGGCTAGAAGTGATTCAGTATTCTGGTATCACTAGCACTGGTCAGTATCGGCTCAATATTCTGGCATCACTAGTACTGGTCAGTATCGACTCAGTATTCTGGCATCACTAGTATTGGTCAGTATCGACTCAGTATTCTGGTATCACTAATACTGGTAAGTAACGACTCAGGATTCTGGTATCACTAGTACTGGTCAGTAGCCAATCAGGATTCTGGTATCACTAGTACTGGTCAGTATCGACTCAGCATTCTGGCGTCACTAGTACTGGTCAGTAACTACTCAGCATTCTGGTATCACTAGTACTGGTCAGTAACTACTCAGCATTCTGGTATCACTAGTACTGGTCAGTAACTACTCAGCATTCTGGTATCACTAATACTGGTAAGTAACTACTCAGTATTCTGGTATCACTAGTACTGGTCAGTAGCCAATCAGGATTCTGGTATCACTAGTACTGGTCAGTATCGACTCAGTATTCTGGTATCACTAGGACTGGTCAGTATCGACTCAGCATTCTGGTATCACTAGTACTGGTCAGTAACTACTCAGCATTCTGGTATCACTAGTACTGGTCAGTAGCCAATCAGGATTCTGGTATCACTAGTACTGGTCAGTATCGACTCAGCATTCTGGCGTCACTAGTACTGGTCAGTATCCAATCAGTATTCTGGTATCACTAGGACTGGTCAGTGTCGACTCAGTATTCTGGCGTCACTAGGACTGGTCAATAACGACTCAGTATTCTGGCGTCACTAGTACTGGTCAGTATCGACTCAGTATTCTGGTATCACTAGTACTGGTCAGTATCGACTCAGTATTCTGGTATCACTAGGACTGGTCAGTATCCAATCAGTATTCTGGTATCACTAGTACTGGTCAGTATCGACTCAGTATTCTGGTATCACTAGTACTGGTCAGTATCCAATCAGTATTCTGGTATCACTAGTACTGGTCAGTATCGACTCAGTATTCTGGCGTCACTAGTACTGGTCAGTATCGACTCAGTATTCTGGTATCACTAGTACTGGTCAGTATCGACTCAGCATTCTGGTATCACTAGTACTGGTCAGTATCCAATCAGTATTCTGGTATCACTAGTACTGGTCAGTATCGACTCAGTATTCTGGTATCACTAGTACTGGTCAGTAACTACTCGGTATACCGGCATCACGAATCCTGGTCAGTAACGACTCGGTATACCGGCGTCAGTATCGACTCAATATTCCGGCAACACATCACTAGACCTTGTCATTGACTCAGTATTTCGGCTACGCTTGACTAACCATAAGTAAGTAACGACTCGGTATACCGGCGTCAGTATCGACTCAATATTCCGGCAACACATCACTAGACCTTGTCATTGACTCAGTTATTCCGGCTACGCTTGACTGACCCTTGATTTTGATTGTCAAATTCCCAACAGTTCGTGAGCCATAAAAGGGACTTTCTTTCAATAACATTTCCATTAGGTGTGCTTTGCCGTCTGAATATGAACTAATCCGAATGTACTATTACGGCGGGTTTTTTTCTCTACGAATCATACTGTGAAATATTTGTACTAAATTTAAAAAATTAGAGTGATGTCCCTTGTCCTTTGTCAATGTACGAGTTTATCGACCGCGGACTTACATTTTCACAATTTTGTGTATATTGCCGAATGGATCCATGTTGTACAAGTTTGAACATTTGTTAATTTCTTAATCATGTTGCACTGATGGTTAAGATATTACTATTGACGTGCTTAATGACGAGAATCATTCGTCAAATGAACATTTTCCATCATATTCAGGCAGAATCCAAGCGCCATTTTGTAGCAACTTTTATGAACAACTCCAGGAATCTATGGGCACTGCTTAGGTTGGTCGACCAATTTGCTTGAACATTGGTGGGAAATAAGGTTAATTATATGCAAAGCTGTCGGCAATGCTCTTTCCTATGGCAAATGAAAATAAATACCGTCTTTTTAATATTCATTGCGATGCCCAATACTGCCGGTGTCGACATAAATTAAGCCCAATTTTTTCTGAGTTATAATCAATTCGGAATGCCTCAAGATTCTACCTTATAATGTAGGGTCACAAGCATACAGAATTCCTCTTGGTTATACAATGTAGCTAACAAAACGAGATGATAAAGTAACAAACTTCGCTCAAATATTTATATATTTTATTTAACAAACATAAAAATACATGTCTGCCTTGACAATGATTAAATGAAATTTACATGAGCAATTTATATAAAAAAATTATCACACTTTTTGGTTTCTTGTCACTGCATTTATAGTAAATAGGGAATTGACGGAACTTTAGTATATGTGTAATAGCAATCGTATTGAAATACATATACGTGCACATTTGTATACATGGCATGAATCAATCAAATTAATTAATTCAACTGATGAGCTTAACACATGCTCTAGAAGTTATATTGGTACCATGGTTAGAAAAAAACTTATTAATTCGAAATTAATCAATTTGAAAGAAACTTTTGTTATTTAAGGTAAATGTTGGAAAGTTTTTTACAGTAATACAATAAAGAAAACAAATAAATGAAGAACCGACGATCATCCAAAGAATGACTTATATTTGTATCCAAACTCCTGCAGTTTTTTTTCTAAATAGTTACAACAAATTGAATTGAACATTAAATGTCTCTTATACAATAGAATCTAAATTTTTGATGAATGAAATCAGGCTCTCATATTATAGTTCATTTCAGAATGAATGTACTCATTACTGCAAAACATTCTCTTTGTTAGGGCATTTAGTTTTCCTATGTGCAGAACCACATATGCTACATGTATAGGATTTAACTTTCAGTCTTTTGTGTTTTTCTAGTTCAAATATTCTGTTTTGCTTTTCCATTATTTGT